GGGGGGGGGTTGAAAGTTTTAAAAATCAGGCAGACACACAGACAAACACACGACAAACAGAGACACGGACATACGGGCACACATACTGTCTGAACGATAGAGGGGGAAGAGGCGATTTGGTCCAGGGGAAAGGGAAGGAAAGGAAAGAAGAGAAGATAAGGCGAATTGAGTAGATGTAAATTGAGGACTGTTTTGACGTGTGTAGGTTGAGCTGGGCGTGGGAATCACGGGGGCGGACAGCTAATGGTGAAGGTCAGAAAGAAGCGTCTCGTTAACTTACTTGCCGTGCTGATGTTTTGCCAAATGATTTGATAACGCAGTGCCCGAAAGCACCCCGTGGGCCTCTCCGAGTGAGCTTCCGACAGTGATTCCGGAGAATGTCTATCATTATCGCCAAGAAAATGCACATGGAATTGACGCAATGGGAGGAAGCGTCTGTTCTAACCTTTCTTGAATTCTGTTTACTTTCGTTATTGTATTTTCTCTTGTTTGTTTTTTTCCTATGACCTCGTAGCGCGATGTAAGCATTTGTGACTGCCTCCCAGTTGAAAATGAAGAAGAATCACTTTCAAATTCAATTATCTAAAATAAAGCGAAATTCGTAGGTTTTTTTTAAATATTGAGCCCGTTGTTGCTGAATAAAAGATAAAGTGTCCCTATTGTTAAGTTGCAAAATGTTCAGAAGTGAAACAAAATATAACTGTGTGCGTTGTTTCGGTTTATTGGAGAGAAAATGTAACGTTGCATGGCGCAGTTGGTTGATGGACTTGGACAGCCCACGGAGGTTCTGATCCAAATCGGGATTGAGTTTTTGTCTTTCTATTTGGAACGTTTTTCTTCTTAAGCCTTGACCTGGTGCGGGAGTTTGTCTTGTAGCGCGTGAAAATTCACCATTAATAAAATAACAATACATAGTTTACAGTCGTTACTGACTCACTGTCTGGGTTATTTTGGTTACTGCAGGTGTGAGGTTTCATTCCATTTGCTACTGAATAATAGATTAGAAACCGTGTGGAAGGGCAAGAGTTCTAATGCTGACTAACTTTATTTCGTTTGAAGGGTGGTTGACGGGTGCTCTTTTGTTGTTTGCTCCTTCTTTTCTATCAAACATCTATGGTCCTTAGCTCTTTTCCTTTTTGGATGTTACTCTAAAGACGCGCCTCTAATCTTCGGTATTTATAAGGCCTAATCGTGTTTCAAGTGCCGTAAAATTCGACTAATGCTGAAAATATTGGTTGTTTTTTTGTTTTTTTTGGAAATGACTTTGAAGGCATTTTGATTTTATAACTTAAGTTAAGAGTTGGGGACTGTCAGTCGAAGCCCGTCTCTCGTAGCACATGGGGCTTTTGTGTGTAGGGCTTTCGCGAAAGTACTATTTCATTTTTAGTTTGGTAAGCGCTTTACGGCGCTCGCAGCTGCATAAGGTCATATAAGCGTCGGGACACATTAAACATTTTCAGTTTGGAAGGAATTCATTTTGAATTTTGCCCAGGTGGCGGCCGAAGCCTTCTCGTATCGAAAATCCTGTATCAAACGCCACAAGCTGGAGAATGCTGCTTTGGGGTTCCAAACGCGGCCGTCGACTCTGCAGTGTAGGATGAGCCTACCCGAGTTACCGGCGCGGCGGTTATGCTGAGTCAACGAAAGAGGAGTCGGCAAGGAAATAAAAAAAACAACACTGCTGACCTTCACTCTCACAGCAACATGTTTTGTTTTTCTAATGCTGAATGTGGATATTATGTTTCCAGTCTATTCTTAGAACGAATACGCCGATATTTTTGTTTTTTTTCTCTGCTGCGAAATACATTTTCCTTTCAATGCTGACGCAAATTGTCGAAAGAATAAATCTTTTTGTGATCTGGAAGTTCATTTTGCAGCAACTCACTTGTTTTGGGGTTTGTTTTTTTACTAAATGGATAACGCGCACCACACCCGTTTTTCACATGCAATAAACACACAGGAAAACTGTAAAAACACAAACCCCCCCCCCCCCTCTTTCCTATAAACAAACGAACAAAACAACTCAAAGCTAATCTAAACCATTAAAACCAAATACTTTTCTTCTATCGTAACGTCATTGTTCATAGAGCTTGCCATCCATTTGGCCCAGTCCAGGCGGAGATGGACCCTTGTTTCGGACGCCCGCATCTTTAAATAAAGTTTATACAGGATGTGGAGAGGATGTCATTAAACCCAGGTCGTGCTAACTTAATAAATATTGTTAACATTGTTTTGGAAATGACAAAAACTACTTCCAGAGCTTGTTGGGTGAAGCTGGATTGTGCCGAATGCTATATTGATATTTGAAGCAATTTGCCTTCTTTTTTTTCATATGACCAAAACCTAGATTGTTTATATCATGCTTTGTAAAGCACCTCTCTATATGGATCTTGGAATATGCTTGGCGCAGATGAAAACATCTCTACAGAAACAGTTATGGTATACGTGAAAGCCAAAAAGTATTTCTCTGAAATGATAAATTATTGTTACAAACAATAAAAACGAACAATTCGCTTGTGCTTATTAAAGAACAAAAGCAAGGCTTCGGGTGTGGCCAAGGGTGTGGCCTACAATGTTGAGCTACTGCTTTATATCTCTTTTAACTCCATCTGTCTTGCTAAGCCTCCGGTGTGTAGTCGTTCGCCATCGATGTATTTCGAATTTGTGCTATCAAATTACCACAGTCGGTCGCAACTGTGACTTCTTTGCAAGCGTGTCGGATTGCGCTATTTTGGATCCAAAACTGTCCGCGTTTTCTCTATTCATAACCACGCTTTTGGTGATGTGGAGGCTGGTCTTATTTTGACACCCAAGACACTTTTACAGAATAATTACATGTGATGGCGTTACCGTCGCCTTCGGTTCTTGAATACCGCCCCGCATGCCCCACCAACCCTCACACTCATACCCTCACACCCACACCCTCACACTCATGCAAACACACACACACACACACACACACA